CTTAATCGGCATGGTTATTCTGGGTCAGCACTCACACTAACTCGATCGTAGCTGGATCCCCTCACCATCCTCCTCAGGAGTGTGGGCAAAAGGGAAGTGGTACAGAAATGTAATGGCCATTTTAAGGGACCAGCAAACTGGCACTGTGTGATTTTGAGTCGTATCAGTTGGATTTCAAATCAATTGAATGCATTCCTGGGTCTTTCTCTATGTTCCTGTTTCTGTGTCTTTCTCTTGGTTTCTCATCTTTGTCTCTGTCTTTCTCTTTTATGCCTTGTTACGTGTCTCTGTGACTCTCTCCCAAATGTAAAAGGCTCCAGGTATGAGGCACCCCCATTGGGTTTTCCCACAAGTCTTCTACTTAGAAGTTTATGATCCTACTACTTAGAAGTCAGGCTCCCAGTGTTAGTTTCTCATCCCCCAAACAGAGATATTAATACTGTTCTGCTGAGCTGCCATTAGGAGGAAATGGAATGAAGGGTACACAGCAGGCAACTCAGCTTCTGGCTCACAGAAACTGTTCCATAAACGTTTGTTCCATCCTTTGTCTCCCATTCACTACCCACTGGTGACATATTAGGATCTGCCAATCTGGTGCCTTCCTTCTGGTGTGGCCTGCCCTCGGCCCATTCTCAGATCAGCCAATGGAACCACGACTGGCTGGAACTATTTTTCATCCAATTGGTCTCTTTCCAGTAGTTTCATGTAAGCTCTCGCTGTAAATCACCCCGGGAAGATAAATGTCCCCAATCCATTAGTGCTTTCCTACCACAAGCCCATTTGAGCCACAAACCAGACAAGGCTTGTTAATGGCCACTTAAATACATTCCTGCAGCCCAAGCTGGAGACCCTCCACCAGCCTCCAATCCCATAGTCCCTGTCCAAGAGACGCTCCATTGTGACAAGACTGATGGTAGCAAAGGCACAGATCGGACCCTTATCCATCAGGGCAGAGTCGCACACCTTGGTTTGCCTAAGACAGCTCCAGCTTGCTCCTGCTATCCGAGAATAATTATCAACAGTGCCCCTTTCACTTTCAAAAGAGTTCCAGTTTGAATGATAAATTATGTGTGGTATCTATGGCAACCATGAACAATAGTTTAGCTAGCAGCTACTATCATTTATTGACAACTTATTAAACGTCAGGCATTATCATAAAGGTCTTCACATACTGGAGCTCACTTAAACTTTGTTAATACACTGTATCTCATTTAAACTTCATTACGATGCTATTATCATGTCCATTTTACAGACCAGGAAACTGAAGTTCATGAACATATTCTTAACAACATGGTCAACCAGAGGGCATTGTTTGTGCCTCGCCCAGATGCCTCTGCTTGAGAGGTTCCATGTCCCCAATTAGGAAGCAGCCCAGAGCCAATGACACAGATGCCTCCCTCTGCTCTTTGCTCCAAGGGGAGACTGACTCTGTGGTGGGGTTCAGCTGGAACCTCATCCTTGCCAGCTCCTTCCTCAGTCCTCACCCACTTCCCTTGCTCCCGTAGCCCTGAGAACATCTCTTCAATACACCACTTGGAAAAGGATCCCAGGCTCAGTCTTTAAGGAGTCAGATTTAAGACATTCAGTTAGCAAGTAGCAGAGCTGGGATTCACATCTAAGAAAGTCTGACTCTTAAGCACTCAGCCTGTATGACACAGTATGACCTATATCGCATGATTTAAAGGATGGCTTTCAGGTTGTCAAGTCCCTGAGACGCATATGTCAGGTGGGTCTAGATGTGACAATAGCAACAACAACAATGTTAAGAACTACTACAGTTTATTGAATACTGACAAAAGCCAGTCTTTGTATTGCACCCGACCCTCTGAGCATGACTATGAATTGCATTTTATTATTCTCATTTTGCAAGCGAAGCACAGGAAACTTGGAGAACTTGAGATGTGTCCCCACTGAGGTCACATGATGGGAAGAGGTGAGGCTTAAGTTTACATCCAAGCCCATCTTTCTTCAAAGGCCGCATACTTTTTCAGTCTTGGCCACTTAACCCTCTTGCTGCATGAATTATTCATCGACCGACTGGGGAAACAGGTCTGCCATCCAAGCTGATGTTCTTAAAACAATTTAGACAGAAGACTCTGCAACCCCCAATCCCAGCCAGAGCTCTTTCTGAGCTGCGTTTGACCAAAATGTCTCCACTTGGGGGGGGAAAGTCAGATTACTCGGAGAATAGCTATGAAATCTGCTCGTATGCCAGACATAAAAAGTGAAAAGGAACCATAGTCACTAAGGAAAGGAGAGAGAGCAAGTAGACATGCCAGAGATTCAGAGGAGAAAATCACATTTCTGTGGCTTTTCCACCAAGGGAGACAAAATAGAATAAAAGATAAACAGCAATCTTTGGGGGAGGGGCAGATTCAAATCCTAACTCTACTATTGTGCGATATTTTTGACAAACGATTCAATGTCTCCAAGCCACAAATCTCCTCTTCTGCAATACAGGAAAAATACCTATCCCATTGGACCAGGGATGAGAGAAGAGAAATGAGGTAAAATATAGTATCTATATATCTTCTTCCCTCTCCTGTTTTCACACAAAATTTATAGAGTAACCAAGTTAAACTCTCATTCCAGATCTGACTAATACTAGTTCAGATGACCTGTGCTTTATTCCCCAGCCAAAAAAAAAAAAAAAAATCCTATTTGATGATAAAAGGGTTTCTATTGAAAATACAGAGCACATAAAAGGGGGACCTTCATCCAGGAAGCCATTTGCTGATTCATAAAAATACAGAATGAGTCATCTTGGATCCCAAGGCTAAAACTTTCAATCAATGGGCTTCTCTGGCCAGCCAATCCTAGCCCGGTGGAGAAGGAAGGGCCCAGCGGGCCATCTTTACAAGCCTGTTCCAATCCTCCCTTGCAAAACCGATTAACTCTGCTTCCAGCTTGCTGAAAGAAAAATCAATCTGGGCCCTTTGCAACACTGTATTCCAAATACACCCCTGTGCCTGGCTGGCTTTGTGAACAGCTGGAGTCAGGGATCTGTAGTGATTCTTCCCTGTGTATATGGGGGTGTGTGTGTGTGTGTGTGTGTACACGCAGCTCCACTGAAGGACCAGCTTCTGTGTCTGGCTTTGAAAAATCAATCTCCTGGCCTTCATCCTGACATTTATCATTTCAAAACGTATCAGTTCCTCCCAGTAATTATGCAGTTAGCATAAGAGTGGAGAACACAGACATTTCTACTACAGAGGATGCTCTTTCCTTTAAAAAGTAGCTTCATAGAGTCTCCTAGAATCAATCTTCAGTTTGAAGGGAAGGTCATATATTACTTACACATACACTTATAAATTTTATATATGTCCATGTATACACACATATATGTGCATATAGATATATTATGTTTTGGTGAAGTCGTTAAGGAAGGAGAGTTGTAAACACAATGGGTCATTGTACTAACCACAAGCTCTTCCACCAGCAAGTGAATAAAAATAATGACCCCCCAGGCTCCTCCAAGCTCTTCCCTCAATCCATACATTCAGCGAGAACTTACTTAGGGCACAGTGGGCCCAGTACTGGGCGAGGCTTTGGGGGTTTATGAGTGAAAGGGCAGAAATGAGCTTTGCACTCTGGGATCCATCAGCTGGGTTCAGTAAGAGTTAACAGAAAGAACTCCTCCAGTTTACAAAAGCCTCTTACCCCAAATCCTTCATAGAGACCCAGACATGGCCACCTGCAAATTGGAGGAGGGAGCCGAGATCGTGCCCACTTCCCCCACCAGCTTCCTTTTCATCTGGCAAAAGGAGCCTAAATGCTCTCAAGGTGGCCAAGGGGAGGAGAATTTCCTCACATTTCTGCTGTCTCTAGATCACGTCCAGACTCTGCGTTTCTGATCTGAGCTGGGCGCTGTTTTAGGGACCAGAGATGGGAGGAGAAAGGATCTTCACACCAGAATATCAGCAAGCTAAGTTCCCCTTGTAAGTTTCACAAGCAGAACAGTGCTGGGGTTCAGGGACCCTCTCCCGAGTCAGCCCTCCCCAGAACTCCAGGAAATTGACCATATAGTGGCCACACACGGAGAGGCTTAAACGCTCCAGGGGAATCCCAGGGGAACAGGGCTGTGGACAAGTCCCCCCTCTTCTATCCATGGCTAGGAGAAATGGGGGGATAGAAGGCATCTTAGAGAACAGAGCTCTTTCTGAGAAAGGAGCGGGAGTTCGAAGGAGATTGTGGATCAGGGTTTTGTCCCCTCTAGAAGAAGCACAGAAGAGGCCAGTGAGGGAGGGAGGGAGCAGGGCGGCAGCCCCGACCTCACCCCTTGCCAGGCTGGTACCCAACCCTCTCGCTTCCCAGTTCCTCCCTCTGTAGGAGGCCACAGCGTGCAGGCGGTGGGACCCAGCAGCGCAGCCTGTCCCAGCCCCATCAGGACAACAGCACAGAGGTTAAAAAGATCCAGTATCCAATCCCCGGCCATGCCGCTCAGTGGCAGCTGAGTGATCTTGGGCAAAACGCTCATTCTCTCTGAGCGGTGGTTTTCTCTCTTGTAACGGGGGATCATGACGGTACCTAACTCATTAGGTCTCAGGAAGTGTTTAAGAAAACCGCACACCTAAAAGTCTAAAAACGGCGGCCGATACACTGGCAGCCTGCGGTTAATTTAATGACAGTAACTCTGATGGTTGTAACTGTTAACCATCAAACTCGCGGTACTGGCGGCTGTGCTGTCGTACGCGAAGGAGAACTCCGGAGCGCGATCTTCCGGACCTGGAGCGCGTGCACCACCTTCCTCCCCGAGCGCACATTCCCCTCCGGTCACCCCTTGCTAGATCTGGCTTGGGGAAGGGGCAAGTCCACCTCTCAGCATCCTCCGCACCCTGCCTGGCCGCAGGCCGCCTGGAGGCTCCGAGACCCGGCTCAGGGCGCGGAGGGAACACCCACGGAGCCTGTCACAGGGCGGCGACCCCGCTGGGGCTCTCCCACCCCCTCCCCCGAGCGCCCAGCGCGCAAAGAGAGAATCGAGAAAGGTACGGATACTGGACCAGGCTTTGACGCGGATCTTGAGCTCGCCGTCCTGCGGCTCCGGCATGGCCCTCCTGGTGAGCCGCAGCTTGTTGAGCCCCCCGAAGCCGGCCAGCACCACAGCGCGCATCTCTTGGGTGTCCCCCAGGCGGTGCGAGCCGTCTCCGCCGCCGCCCTCGGCCGGCTCCTTGCTAGTCTCTTTCTCGATCATTTGCTCGGTCTCTTCCGCCTTCTCCACTCCTTCCTTGGCCATGGCGCACCGGGGCGCGGGGCGCACGGGCTGCGGCGGCTGCGGCGCGGGGTTTCGGGGATCCTTTCGGGCGGGCTTCTCCTGTTGAATGTGGGATGCTTGGCTGTGCAATGGCTGCAGCCTCTGAGAGCCGCGAGCCGTGGCGCCGCGGTCCACAGTCTCCGCCGTAATCCTCGCAAGAGCCGAGCCCTCCGTCCGCCTTCCTTGCGCCCCCAACCTCCGGTCCCTGCTGTAACGAAGCCTCACTCCGATCCCGGAAGCAGTCTCCAATTAGGCTCTTGATCGAAGCCCTAAAAGCTTGGTTTGCCCAAGACCTGTGAGTAAAACACGCACGGAAAGACTACATTGTCTTCGGAAGTGGGCGCAGTACTTGGTTATATACGGCGCAGGCTCGGAAGCCTTGAAATGGACAGAGATGAATGTCTGGGCCTGGAGGATGCCTCCCCGCTACACGGTTGCCTCCTCTCCCACGGATCTGCAGGGGTGGGCGGGATAGCCGGGAAACTGGGCTATTTCCTAAACCGCTGGATCTGGGTGGAGGGTCGGAGAGACTGGGAAGCAAATAGCCAGAAGTCCCACTGCGTGCCCCAACCGTCCCATCCCGAGTCTTTTCATTGGGAACCTGCAGCGGCAGCCAAGACGCTCCTTCCCAGGCACCACCAGGGTCTTTCTTACGATGGCTAATTATCAGCACTTGTACCGTCTCCAGAAAAGGCTCCTGCATCAGAAAAGGGTCCTGTCCTTGTTCCAAGCCCCTAGAAAATTAATGTATACCTGCTCCCCTACACACACACACACACACACACACACGAGTAATAACTGGCTTTTTGCTTTGTTTTTGCTATCAGACACGTTGGGGAAAAAGTGCTCCTAGAAAAACTTGGAATTTCTAGAAAAACATACGAGGGAGGTAGTGGTTTGCCTTGTGGCAGTTTAAAGGAAGAGATGCAGCAGCGTTAGGATCCTCAGTGACTCATTCAACCTTCCAGAGCCTCAACATTCTCGCCCATAGATTGGGTACATTGATTTTGTTATCCACAGGATGCAAAGTGCTGGGATGGGTCTGATTTCAGTGACGTGTGGCCCTTCCTTTTGGACATCTCAGTCTCAGGGCATGATGAGGCTGGAAGGACGCAGCCAACAAAGAGATGTGGCACAAAGCCTTATATCAGTGCTTCTCTCTCTATTCTCCCTGGGCCTCTCTGCTTTAAATGGCCTGGTCTTCTATTTTTTGAAAAGAACATTATGTCCCCTTCTACCAGAGGGCCATGCACCTACTGTCCCCTTCACTTGGAGTCTATGTTCCACCTGTTAATTCCTACTTCACTCACACCCCAAGAGCCCCTTCTTTGTGGAAGGTACTCCAATCCCTAGGCCGGGTCTGTATCTTTTTCTGCAAACTCACACATCATTTTGTAGTTAACTATTACATGATTACTTGATAAGGCTATTTCCTTTATCCAATGGCGAAGTAAGTATGGGCAGAAGCTGTTTCTGCTTCTATCCAGCATGGTTTCTTTTGGGCTTAGCACATGGTTGGTACATAGTAGAAAATCCACAGAAATGGCTGTTGAATGAATGGATGGATGAATCAGTTAATGCGAGTGCTATTGCGGTAGCCCAGAGGAAGGCAATGTGAACTTGGACAGAGAGCTGGAGAAGTCCTCCCAGAGAAGGGCCCTAGGGCTAGATTGGAGCTAGATCTTGAAGGATGGGCTGCATTCTCCAGGCAGAAAAGGTCACAAGCACATTCAAACACATAGAAAGGTGACAGGTAAAAGGGCCTTTGAGACGATTTGGTTTCTTCTATGTGGGCAGAGCACTGGCTGTGTTTGGCCATCACTGGACATGAGGCTGAAGGGTTGGCTGGAGCCAGATGTATACCCTGAGATAAAATTTAAAACATAATCATGGAGAAAAATAGGTGGCACCACAGGCTTAAAACCTCAAAACAAGGGAAGAGCATTATCAGAACTGCATTTTAGGATGACCATTTTGGCAATAAGCGGTTGATGGATGAGATAGTAGTGTTAGTGGAAGAATAGAGATCAGCGAGAGATTATAATGCAGGCAAAAACCAAAACAAATGAGAAGGGCCCCGTTGGAGGTGATGACTGTGGAACAGAAGAAGGCAGAATTGACATGGGTTGGTTAGTGAGTTGAACATTTTATTGCAAACCCAAGTATCGGGCGGCGCCTATGGCTCAAAGGAGTAGCACACCAGCCCCATATGCAGGAGGTGGTGGGTTCAAACCCAGCCCTGGCAAAAAAAAAAAAAAAACTGCCAAAAAAAACAAACAAACAAGCAAACCCAAGTATCCAAATTGTTACTCCTATTTGCATTGTGAAATATAGTGTTGACGCTGGATTCTGAATCCTGAAACAAGGATCAGCGTGCCAGTGGTTTATTTTGGAGGTAATCCCAGGAAATTGCCATTGAGAAATAGGAAAATAAGGCAGGGAATTGATGGCAGCCACTATGACGTGAACTCATAAGCAGGGTTCCACAGAGGACACATGAGGCTCAAAACCCACAGGGGACCCTTGAGAGACAGGGTGGAATAAACCTCAGAGTTTGCCTGCTCAAGGAGTGAGAACATGGGTATTTATTCACTAAATTCTTTCCATGATTGTCCAAGAACTGTTTCTGGAAATGTTATGTCCTTGGGATTTCCATCCTGTCCATGCATGTGGTTGAAAGAACCCCTGGCAGAGGATGGTGGATGTTCTCCATAGGAAGTGCATGGGATGGTGAATTGCATGGGGATAGAGCTTTGCTGCTGATAACATTTGCAATATATCTTATCATTGAGGGGGTGTCTACGGTTCTTGACACTTCAGGTATATTTTATAATTTGATTCTCAGGGTAGCCTCAGGAAATAAGAATCGCCATTCCCAGCTTCCAGAAGAGGAAATTGAGTCTTTCCATGGTGAACTATCATGCTCAAGGAAGTACACCGAGGACATGTGTTGTGGTGAGTTACAAGACAGAGTCCAAATCCATGCTCTTAACATCTCACCATGCACACGTTTATTTGGATGGGTCAAACCAGTTCTGCCCTTGACTGATGGTGCTTCGTGGCAGTTTTGGAGACTCTGTGCTCTTTTCTTGGCCTCCTCGTGTCTCTGTCTCACCAAGGGCCCTTGCCTTGCTTCTGAGTCCTTCCCTTTGGCATTAGGAAAGTAAATCGACTCTGTAGTCAGCACACAGCACTTTTAAGGGAAAGTGTTTGTCTTACGGTGTGTTCAAGGAAATATAATTACCCCCTCCAAGGGAGTCTTCTGGCTGTTTACAAACCTCAGATTATAATTGGTAGGCAGCTGATTATCACAACAACCCACAGGGAATACGCCACAATCTGTGCTGCTAGGGGAGGGATGCCCTCCTCTGAGTCCTGCGTACCAATATTGTTAAGTATTCCCGACTCCACTCATCTCTGATGGAATGTGGCAAGAGCCATACTGCCTGGCATACTTCCAAATAAACACAGTCAATCAATTTTTAATTTTTTAAATTGATTTCTTGGGCATTCACTCACAACCTCAGGGGTGAAATTTCTTACATTGCAGAAGTATGTGAAATAGCGGCCACTGATGGTGAAACACAGTATTACAGCTCAGCTCTGTTGATGTGCAAAGGATCTGGGAAAGGGTCTGTGTGTGTGTGTGTGTGTGTGTGTGTGTGTGTGTGTAAGGAGGGAGAGGCCAGTAGAGAGGACCAAATGAATATAAGAACCTGTCAAGGTATTGGCCATCTGAAGGGAGTGCCACACAATACAATCTTAGTACGATTTTCTGAAATGGTGTTTCAGTAGTTTGAAATGATTCAGCAATTTTCTAGAGAAACGTATTACTTGAAGCAATCAAGGATGCAGTCTATATCCTTTAGTAATGTTTATTCTCTTACATCATCTTCAGTACAATTAGCATCATTCATTATACCTATGTTATATTATTTAATCTTCAAAATAATCCTTTGCCATAGGTACCATTATCCCCACTTTACAGAGGAGAAAATTTAATATGGACCAAGAAACTTGCCCAAGATTGTCTACATAGTAAAGTATAGAGTTGAGATTTGGAAGTTAGAGCCATTTGACTCTGAAATGTGGGTTCTTAACCACTATGCTATAATGTCTCTTATTCTCTATGACCTTTCACTCATAAAAATGCTATAGACAGGTCAGGAGGAAGGGGGAAAATTTAGAAGTTCATCAGTGGGAAGAAGTAAAAGATTCTGAAAGTGAATGATCTTGGCAAAATCCAGGGGCTTATATTAAAGAATGTGTGCCGTGATTTCCTACAGTTTGTGTTGATGCCATTTAAAAGATGGTGGAACAGGATGGCGCCTGTGGCTCAAAGGAGTAGGGCGCCAGCGGTGGTGGGTTCAAACCCAGCCCTGGCCAAAAACTGCAAAAAAGAAAAAAAAAAGATAATGGAACATAATTGCTATGAGCACAACACAATAATGTTGATCAGAGAAGTACTGGAGAGGCTAGCAGCTGGTCCTAAAGATGGTAGGATAAGCTTCCTGTATATACCCTGGTAGGGCCAGGTATAATGGGGTAAACGCTAGTTGTGTCAGAGAGGAAAAAGTGAACTGGCGTTCATTCATCACCTTTTAAGTGCTGATCTTGTCTTGTTGCTAAGTACTGGAGATAAAATGATTCATAAGACAGGCATTTTATCAGTTTTCATAGACCTAGCAGCCTAATCAAGGAGGCGTATATTGGTTTAGGTTGGGTTGCCCAGAAGCAAACCTTTCTTTATTCAAAGATTTGAGTGCAAATGGTTTATTGGAGAGGTGATCCCAGGAAGCACTGGAAGAGGACAGGGAAAGGAAAGAAGTTAACAACAAGGTGCATTACCTAGCAGATTACCACTGTATAACTCATGTTAAATCCTGCAGAGGAACTGTGGAGACAGTACAGAACACACTTCAGGAGGAGTAAATGGAGTAAATGGAGTGCTCACCCTTCCTCTCAGTCCTTTCTGGGAATCACCAACCACCTGCCACTTGTTACCTGTTTTGCACGTGGGCTGTTTGGGAATTGGCAGCTAGACAAGGCTATCTCAAAAGAGTTGCAAGTGTTTACAGTTGGAAG